CCCCAAAACCCCAAAACCCCAAAACCCCAAAACCCCAAAACCCCAAAACCCCTTATCAGGAGGGATTTATTGAGTCTGGATAATAATTACAATGAAATGGAGTCATCTCAGTCATAGGTACTATTAAAATTAAAGGGTTATTTATACTCAAGAGAGAAGTTGGATGAGAATGGCTTTTGGGTAACGAAAGCCTCAAAATTTGGAGTATCTCTCTCGTTACCAAGTAAAAAGCATTCGTTTTCCATTTCGCCTTGAGCATAGAAAGCATTAACTCCACTCATAAGCCTGGAACGACGATGATTTCTTTTGGATTTGGTTGTTTGGAGTTTACTTTGATCAACAAGCACTCCATTGTCTCAATCTAAATCATCTTCATGATAGGAATTGTTTGATTCACATTCTATTTGTTTGTGCAATTGCTCTAAGGAAGGCTGAAGATCTAGTTCTTCTTGACTAAGCTGATCAGGGATGTTATAATCCGGAAGTTCACTCTCCAGTTCTTCGTTCAAATTCTTACACCTTAGGAAGAGCTCATTTTCAAAAGGAAGGGTCTCAGGTGTTACCTTCATCATCAAGCGATCTTCATGTTCATGAATCTTCACAAGATTTATTGGTTCTACTTCAGGTTGGCAAATAGACGAGTCAGAGTACTCTTTTTGTTTTGAAGACTGCCTCGAACTTCTTTTTGTGCTAGAGGAGTCAATATCTTCTGGTTTTGCCAAGTTGCCAAAGCTAAGTCTTCCTTTAAGAGGTTTAAACCTCCGAACTTTTTCAATTTTGAATTCTACTTCGTCTGAATAATCATTGCAAATACGATCTTGTATCTTAGATCTTTCGAGGGGTCTAGTGGCAAGTCTTTTTCTTTTCTCTCTGAAGCGCTCAATTTTGAAAACATCTCCATAAACCTTCCTTATAGGAGTTTCATTACGATCAGAGCTAGTATTATTTGAGCAGCTGTCATGCAGGTGAGATGGTTGTTTGTACTTTTGGATATTAAATACCTTTGGTATCTTGTTTCTCAAAAGAATTAAATTTTCCTTCTTCATCTTAGACACCTTGAAGATTTTCTTCTGTTCTTGATAAGAATCGACACTATCAGTGACAGAGCTATTTTCTTGGGAATTGACTAGAAGGGAAACCTTCTCGCTTGAGCTCCTTGAATTCTGACTAGAGTTTTTCTCAGATATGCTGTGAGGGTAGTGGGTTTTCATATGAGCAGTAAGATTTGAACTTTGAGTAAACCTTTTTCCTCACCCGGGAAAGTCTCATTCGTAAGGTTTTTCTCCAGTATGGGTTCTAAGATGTGTCCTGAGGTTGAAGTCAAGTGAAAACCTTTTCCCACATACATTACAACTGTATGGTTTCTCTCCAGAGTGTACCAGTTGGTGTCTTCTCAATTTGGAATTATCCAAAAATTTCTTCCCGCAGCCTTTTTCCTTACAAATAAATTGCTTGCCATAATGACTTTGGGAAATCTTTTTCAATGAGGATTGGTCTTTCAAAAATGTTCCATCAAAGCCTAATTTTTGTTGGTGTTCCTTATTGACAGTTTTGTAAGGATCATCAAATTCACTGTCGCTCTTCATTAGCAGATTGGTGTCATGCTCCCTTCCGCAAAATCCTAGGTCTTCTTCTTCACCAGCGAAGATTTGATTTTCAGAAAATTCTTGGTGTAATTCAGACTCATGAACTGATCCAACCATTTCGTCTTTTGGATCGTTTATAATATTACTGACTTTATCGTTCTTAATCAGTGCATCTTCCACAATGGGATTATAATTGTCGAAATTACTCAGTAGGAATTTAGGAAGAGAAGCATGGGGGTAGGAAACAGTTTTGTGAATTTTGAGTTCAAATCCTTGCAAAAATCTATCTTGATAATCTGCCAGGACATGTTTGGAATCTGGCAGATTGCTTCCATGGCTCTTGATGTCCTCATTTTCATAAGATTGAGACTCAATTGAAATAGCACTATCAGATTTGGAGTAGTCTTCACTATTATCGAAATGAACATTGTACTGAATATCGTATTCCTTCAATACGCTATCTTTTGCATCCTTGCTTTCCATTATTTATTTTTATTCACCGCACGTCAAATTATTCCTTCTTAAATGGGGTTTTGGGGTTTTGGGGTTTTGGGGTTTTGGGGTTTTGGGG